GGGGTGGGGAGGGGAGAAGAAACCTCAAAAGTTGCTAATTTTTTTTGTGGATTTCACTAGAACTCCACAAAATACACATAAGCACTTAATTGTACCCTCCCATTTACAAAAATCAAGTTAATTTCAACACCAAGAATCAAATCAAGTCCAGCTTCAACATGACTAAGCTGAACCAATCAACTACCCCTCTGACCCATTAAGCTATTAAATCAAGATTATCATTTTCAACTCCCAAAACTTCCATAAAATTTATAAAGAAACCATTTTTTAGCAAAACAAACATTCCACAGAATATACAATCATTTCAGCTTAAAATTTATCAAAATGCAAAAGAGAAATAGATCAAGAACTCACAGCCATTAAAAAGGGTAAGTGCAGTTAAACAGCAGCAGCTTAGATAAATTCAGCTGAGATGTTAAGATGGAGCTTTCACTGTTGTTTCCAAGATTTTATTTTTCTTTCTTCTTTCTTCTTCACTGTGGTGCCAGATCAGAGAGAGAGCAAATGGGGGTTGGGTAACTGGCGCCACCAGTGACGTTTGACATCCCACATACTCTTGTCAGATCAAAAAGATTTTTTCTAAAATGGAATAGTACTAAATTCTCTTTTTACTCCCTCCGTCTCAATTAATATAGGCTCGACAATGGGTTTTAAAAATAAATAATTATATAATTTAATTATTCATATGATTATAAATCATCTTATTAAAGTTAAATTATTTCTAAATAAAAATATATGACATATTTTTTTTGGGACATACCAAAAAAGAAGATATGATACATAATTGGAACAGAGGAATAATAATTATTAAAATATTTACCTATAATTACTTGATAAATGATAATATGATTATTTCTGTCACCTAGGTTGTGGCAACTTTCTCGTCTTGCCGTATCTAAAATGACTATTTTTACCGGTACATGAAACTTAAAATCATTAATTAATAGTCTAGACATACACAAATTATTTCATTATAGTAATATGTTATCTATAAAAAATTTAAAATAATTAACTTATATATTAATAATATAAATAATTTTTATATAATACTTTTGACATTATGTTACACTATGAATGTTTAACCAACTATTTAATGAAAAAAAAAAAGACACCTTTTTTCAAGCACATGGTGTAGTCAGTCCTGAATTTGTCGGCACTTGACAGTGTAACCAACATGCTACAGTGCACAACCGTCACATCCTCATCTGTCCTCCTTTAATTTTATTTTATTTTATAATACTATATACTAGTAAGTATGTTGTAAGGACTAATAAATTATGGGTTATCCATTTTCTTAATGTTATTTTCTAGAAGAAATAACGACTCGTTTCATATCTTTGACACCTTTACTCTACGGAAGTTAATTTGACTAGTTTTAGAGTTAAATCACATTCAACTAATTATTTCTTACATCAGATATCCAAATGTTATTACTCCATCTGTTTCAATTTATATAACGTTTTATATGTTTTATGTATTTCTTATATATTTCAAACTATTTTACTTTTGTTATTTACGTCCTTTGGTCACCAAAGCCATCGTGCATTCCTAGATACGATGTTCTTTTATGATACGAAGTTATGGATCATTAATATACAAAAAAAAAAATGCCATAAGAATAAAACATAGAATCTAGAACCAGAAGAATAGAAGCTGATAGAAAAAACCCTTTTTTTTAGAAAGGTCGGATCAGTCAATCTAACATTTTATAATCCTTTATTTAATGTCAGTAAGCAGCAGCTAGTTACTTTAGGTAACTTTAAAAAAATCTTTGCTTTTGCATCCATCTGTCAGAATCTAATGTTAAATATCAGAGTGTTTGTAACTTTGGTGACATACAAGAAATTAGAAATTCAGATGTCAACTAAAAGTTTAGATTAACCAACATAAGCAAAGCAACTTAGCACTACAATGACTGAGTATTCACTCTGCCATCTCCTGACATGATAGCCCGGTGCACTAAGCTTCTGCTATGGACGGGGTCCGGAGAAGGGCCGAGCCAAATGCCATTTCCTGACATGAGTTAAGGAAAAGGGAACTCATTGATGCAATACAAAAGAGAATTTCTGTAATATGTAGCTTCAAGTAGAGGAGAAAAAAAAAAGAGAAGAGAATACATATTCTAGTTGCCATAAGAAGAAAACAGAGAATAAACAAAGAAAAAAGAAACATCAAATGAATTGCTTTAGAAACTCAGTAGCAACAAGCCTCCCTCGGGTGTTCACTGATAGTTTCAGTTCACTGATCTCCTTATCGATATCCTGCAATTTCAAGCAGAGATTCACAAAACTCTTTGAATAAATATCAATAAGTTACGTAAATGATTGATGCATAGGTTTTCCTGCTACTTTATCCTCGGAAGTATGGGAATCAATAAGTGTACCTCCATGAATTGCACTATGAAATCAATAAGCTTCTGCTTCTGCATCTCTTCACAATGATAATTTGTAATGAGAAAACTAATGTCGTAGCCCTGAAACATAATGCGCCCATCAGAATTCAGATGACTAAAAGTTGGTCAAGAAACAAGTTATTTACCTTTTTTAATAAAGAAACAAGTCATTTACATAACACCTAAAAAGGTTCATTCAACCATTTGTGAAACATGTCAAATATTTTCAACCTATGTCCAACAGGTAGCCTTTTAGACTAGGTAGATGCTTTAATTTATTCAGGAAAAACTTGAGCATACTACAAAGCTGCTTCTTCCAAGACATTGCTACTCTCCGTCTAGGCTAATACATGAATACATCAAAACTAAACAAATGTTTGTCTCAACCAAGCCTGAGAAGCAATCACATAAATGTTGTAAACAAATAAGAAGGCGTCCCATAAAGCAGCAAATGTACCGATATCTCTTAGTATTGTACTCAATCGACATCTTCCCATCCTTTTGCAGGTTGAGCAACTGACATTTTGTAAGTGTTTAAACCCCAGCCCCCGTAAGAAAATGGCTAAATAGGGGTATTTGACATCTGCTTTCACAAACCCTCCCCCAACACAAGTAAAGAAAAGTAAATCTTAAAGGCCTTTGTCAACTTGCTGAGAATGAGAAATAAAAGTAATCAGTCCCAAAGCATTGCACTAGAAGCAAGTCCAGATCCCAGAAAGCTTAATTATGCTTTCAGACTTTACAGCCACCTTCCATATTCAGTAATAGCTCCATTCCCAAGTTGCCACCATGTTACCATTGGTGGAATAGGTCGATAATAACATTACTAGGAAAATTTGTACCAAAAACTAGACATATTCAAACTATGAACAAATGGTGAGTAGACGCAGAAGAGAGCAAACGGAAAAAAAAGGACGGGAAATAAATTGGACGTTCAAGTTCCGCCAAACATAACTACAAAATTTAGCATACAGAACTACAGAACATGCCAAAGCATGGAATCAGTTACAAGGAGTTAACAGAAAACCTAATCCAGGATAAGAGGATTTTTAAATATTGTTACCATTTCCATGAGAAGAGGAGAGATACAAACCTGAACTGGCTTTCTCCTTAACACCTGAAATGCTTCTGCTCTCATAGACAAAAACCTAAGGAACTTCTTCGTTAGTATATTTTCAAGTTCATCTGACTGTTTCACCTGCAGCATTAATCACACATGAGGAGCTTAAACTTTTTTTTAAGTGATTATCAAGATCCAGAATCCTATAATTCCTTGTGAAGTCTACTTAATTCCGGAACTAATACAGTTTCTACCCCCGTCCAGCACAATCAGTAGTTTAGCTAAGAATCCAAAATGTTAGCTGGATTCATTTAAAAAGGCATTGCAAGCTGCACGCAGATGTCAGGCTATATGAGTTCCTGGAGGAACATGGTCTTGCAATAAATTGATAGGCAAATCCCAAATTTTGATTTACCTTCTTGTTGAAATACAACACACTAATGATTAGACACATATTCCAGTCTGCAACATATGGAACTAGAAAGAAAGATCTGGACTGCTGATGAATACTTAGCAAATGGCCTTTAGCGTAGACAAGCAGATGTATAACTAGAGAAATATGGTTCAAGGTACCATAATGTATTCTACTCTATAAGAACAAAAGCATAAATATGGCATATGCGCAGCTTTAGACAGCATGCACCTAATCAATACATGTAATAGCAAAGCAAACCTACCTTTAGACTTATGCGCAAGGAATTAATAGATGTTTCAATCAAGCACCGTTCAGCCTCATTTCTACAAATCAAAACCTGTGAATTGGTACATTGGGAAAAATTAAATAGATTGATATAAGACATGCAGCTATTAAAATTCTTTGTCACATGAAAATCAAGTATAGACAGAGGACCACATTAGAGGTTTAATTAAGAACGTGTACTTCTAGTGTTGGACGTAAATGAATAATCTTTACTCAGAGACTTATAACTCATGCTAAATTTAAATCATTATGGCAGAAAACAGCAATCAATAACAAAGAAGCATACAAACAAACCACTGCGGGTGCACAAACAGAAATGAGAACTAAAATTCATTCTTATACACCTAAAGGAGGACAGAGCAAGGTCTCTCTTGGTCTTTCTCAAACTTAAAAACTGACACGGCCCACCAGTCATGTTAACAGATTTAGTAGTATCATAGCATCAGATGAATCAGTATGCAATTACGAAGGGTTCTGTTACATTACAAAAAAGTTTGCACCTGAATTATTGATTAATTCTTCCTACCTTGTCATGGAGAACATGTTTACCATGCCAAAAAGGACAGAGCAAGGTCTCTCTTGGTCTTTCTCAAACTTAACCTTTTTCTAATGGCAAATATAATGAATTAATGTTGCAACTTGCATCAGTGCTACTAGATGACCTAATCTATGACGTGCTAGAGTTCCCAACCAACTTGGACAACTTGTTACATCTTTAAAGCGACTCATCGACAACGTGTTGGCATCTAAGAAAGACACCTCGGAAACAAGCTTTGAACAAGTAGCTAATCACGAGAGAGAAGTTTAAAAAAATTTAAAGCGAGAACTCTCTTAGAACTTCAAAAATTTTACGAATAACGCCATCATACTTTCAAAAACCTTAACTGCACTTACTACCGAGCCATAAAAACATGTAGTTTAGGCTTGCAAGGATTGTACTAAGAACAGATGGGCAAACCACGGGAACACGAAAATCTATTGTACCCAGCAGATATCTTCAAAAATCGTATAAAAGTTAAGAATATCAAACAGTTCTTACAGGATTAAGAAGAAGTTCTGGGCTTGTCCTGGAGAACATACAAAATGAGAAAACATTACTATTTTAGTACACATGTTTGGCAGGTAAATGAATAGCATTTGGTAGAGAGATGAAACATCGCATTGTCTACATAAAGAAATAGCAGTCCAGTAGAATATCAAATTTCTGCTTTTTGGTAGAATATCAAAATTCTGCTGCAAAAATGATATGTTCATTCATGTCAAAAAAATTCTTTAAGATTCTAGCCATATTATAGGTGAAAAGAATATGTATGGGGTTCTTCTGGTTTATAGGAAGCCGCCTACTGCAAATCCATTTGATGAACCACCCAAGAGACAGAATATGGAATTTAACCAGCATCATTAAGTAACTTTGAGTAAAATGTGATGGCAGCATGAAGTCATACTTTAGTTCAACCTCTGGTTTGTTATGCCTCTCTACTTCTTGGCATGGGAAATTCTGCAACCACAATGTCGAAAACAGATTATCTAAGACAGATATAGAGTAACTAAGACATCAAATTTGCTGAGGAAATGGTCCAAGGGGCTTAAAAGTACTAACAGCTTTGCACTTTTATGTTAAAACCATGACGGAAATAAAAAGCTTTTTGAGAAGTGTCAAAATATGTCAAATTCAATAAATTGATTGGCTGAACAAATAACATGTGTGGTTGAAATGACATACTACAACTACCCTCGTCCCAAGCTAGTTAGTGGAACATATAACAAGTATGAAGAGGAGGCAGTCAAAGAATCATGATAACAATACAACGGGAATTCAGAATGCAGAGTTCAGAATAATTTTTCTTCGGGAATGGGGGTGGAAGTGGAAGGACTGCTAGTAGTGGCATGTGGACTCTCTAATACAAGCATATATAATGAATACCGAGAAACTAAAACTTATAAGTGTAAATAAAACATCCTAGCAGTGCAGAAACACTCAACTTGCCTCCCAATCACCCGAACTATCACATCATAATGCTTGTAATCGTCTCAAGCTAACACTTCCCATCATATCTCAGTGCACGAACCTCAAACATTACATCTTAGGCCAACAATAATGCAAGTTAAACAGAACAATTAGAAGGACTCAACTATGATTCTAACTTTTAAAAAAAAATCAAAAATTTTACAAAGCTGCAAAAAATTCTTATGATAGTTAAAAATGCTACATTACCTGAAGACACATAGCTGCTTCGAGCGTGTTTCTTATGCATGTTAAATACAATCGTAAGGAATTTGCCTGCAAATTAATCAAAAAACAATAACTACTCTGCATTTTGCACAACGTAACCACATACACACACACACACATATACACACAGAAATCCTGGATCTAAATCAATTGAGCTAGTAAATAACATGAATTAATTAAAACGCAGCTCAATTCTCTACAAACAAACACACATTTACTCAAGAAAGTAGAATTGAATTGAAGAATGTTAATATGATCAAATCCCTAAAATACACAGTATATTTCGAATTTTACCCCTTTTTTCTCGAAATGAAAGTACTTACCATTAAAAACTGTTTCGCTTGATTTTCGCTTTGAATCAGATATAGTATAAGCCGACCGATCGACGTTTTAGCTGAATTTTGCGCTAAGTTTTGCTACTGCTAATTTGTTGAGCTTTGTGTGCACGTTAAGTTAAGAACTGCTAAAATGCGCCGGCGTGGGGGAAGTAAAGTGGAACCAAAAAAATCGTTGAAAATGAAATTTAAAAATAAAAAAGAGGATCCGACCTACCGGATTCGAACCAGTGACCTAAGGATTAGCTGTGGGCTTTTATTACCCGACTACAGTCCTCCGCTCTACCAACTGAGCTAAGGTCGGTTTTGCTGATGGTTTTCACGTCTTTATTAATCATTACAAATGAGGGTATTGTTATAAAACAAAGACTGTAAAGTAAAGACAAGTATAGAGAGAAACTGATATATTATTCGAATTCAAACTGATGTACATAATTAACTAAAATCTCTTCTATTTATAGAAGAAAGGAAGTTGTTGTGTAAGCTGCTACTATACCAAATATGGATAATCTTCTATTGAGAGCAATGTTTATCCATAACGGAGTACTGAAAGGATAAACTTATTATATCCGGTATGGATAATCTTCTACCGGGGATAATCTTCTACCGGGGGTAATGTTTATCCATAACGGAGTACTGAAAGGATAAACTTATTATATCCGGTATGGATAATCTTCTACCGGGGATAATCTTCTACCGGGGGTAATGTTTATCCATAACTGGGTACTGAAAGGATAAGCTTATTATACCCGGTATGGATAATCTTCTACCGGGGGTAATGTTTATCCATAACCGGGTACCGAAGTGATAAGCTTCTTCAGGAAGCTTATTTCCAATAGAGTACTAAATAGATAAACATATTTACGGTGGAGTCCCATATGGATAAGCTTCTTCAGGAAGCTTATTTACAACGGAGTACTAAATGAACATCCATAATATAATATATTTATAACACTCCCCCTTGGATGTTCATTAAAAGATAATGTGCCTCATTAAAACCTTACTAGGAAAAACCACGTGGGAAAAAATCCTAGTGAAGGAAAAAGAGTACACATATTTAGTAATACGCATTGTTGGCTGTCTCATTAAAAACCTTATAAGGAAAATCATGTGGGAAAAACATTAGTAAGGGGAAAAGAGTACAGCGCGCATTTTACTCCCCCTGAAGAAAACCTTATTTCAAATATTTGAGTCTCCGCATTCCAATCTTGTATACTGTATTCTCAAAAATTGATGTTGGTAAAGACAATCTGCTGGATTGTCACTTGAACTAATTTGATGCACATCAATGTCACAATTTTCCTGAAGATCATGTATGTAGAATAATTCTGGTGAAATGTTCTTCGTTCTATCTCCTTTTATAAATCCTCCCTTTAATAGTGCTATGCATGAAACATTGTCTCCGTATAATATTGTGGGTCTTTTATCACATTCCAACCCACATGTTTCTCGAATGAATCACTGATCTCAATCATATGCACTCCCTGCTTGCCGGTTTGAAATCGAGCTTTATGGGTATCAGATAAATAACCTGCATCTGCATTACCAATACGATCTGCACCACTTTTGTTAGCATTAGCAAGATAAATAAGTGCACCATCTACACCGAGATAGAGTATTTCAGGACCAAGGAGCTCCTCATCCTCTTCTAGAGGTTGGAACGGATCCTTATTCACTTCAAGTGATTGAATATTCATTGGTGTACTTAATGGGTACACTTTGTCCATGTAAAAGTATTTTTAAGACCCTCTTGGAGCTCTTCCGGAGTTCCAATAAGATTTATGTCACCAACATAAACAGCAAGTGTAACAAATTTTGATGACATTTTCTTTATAAAAATACATGGACAAATAACATAATTTATGTAACTTTCTTTCAGCAAATATTTACTGAGGCGATTATACCACACGCGCACAGATTGCTTTAAACCGTACAAAGATCTTTATAATTTGATCGAGTACATTTCTCAAGACTTTGAATTATATGTTTCAGGCATTTTCAATCCTTCAAGGATCTTCATATAGATTTAGCCAAATAAGTCATATAGGTTAAGACTTGTATCTAAATGGTATGACATCTTCAAGTGTCTGGACTGCTAGTCCGATCCGCACAATATTTTACAATATTGTGCACTATATTATATTAAATATGTCGTCGACGATCATTTTGTGTCAGTTCCGAAGCGACATAACTTGTGGAGATCTCATCACTTTCTTTATTTTCAGGTACCTGAACTTTTTCGGGAGTTTCATGAAATGTTATGTCGTGGGCTCTTCTAGAGCTTATTTCCTCCTCATT